CAAGGAATGATCAAATATAAACCACTGGATGGATACTGAACAGTAGAAGGCCATAGCAGTTAGATGTACTGACATACACATGAACCCTTTCTTTTATTTATCATCGGCAAGAAGCGTTTTCATAACATATAAGATACAAGAAGTAATGAAAATTACAAATCCAGCTAGCTGTTCCATGGAGTTTAAAGGCAGAACAATCTTTAAACTCCGGACAGCACAAAGGCCACACAAGAAATAGAGAAGGATGAAGTGAGTACTATTTCATGCCAACTGGCCACAAGTCTACAGACAAGAAAGGAAGACCGATGAAGAGAAACTTGATCCACACTAGATGAAGAAATTATGTGTTTTGATGCCACAAAAGTATCACTCAATTTGCGGGATGATAAGAATGGGAATTACGCATAGATCAATTTTTTTTCTTGCCACAGTGCTGAAAACCTCAGTCATATCTAGATCTTCCAACGTCTTTCCATCAGGAAGTTTCCAATCAAAATGGTACAGTAAATTTGCAAGTGCGAGCTCAATAGTGGCAGTGGCAAATGAAATGCCAGGACACATCCTCCTCCCAGCCCCAAATGGTATAAATTCATAGTTACTTCCCTTGTAGTCAGCTGTGCTATCCAAGAATCTGTTGGGAAAGAACTTGTCAGCTTCAGTCCAATGTTTTGGATCCCTTCCAATTGCCCATGCATTGATTACGACTCTGGATTTTTCAGGTATCTCGTATCCATCAATCTCACATCTCTCTCTACTTTCTCTAGGGGCCAGCAAAGGAGCAGCAGGGTGTAATCTCAAGGTTTCTTTGATAACAAGGTTAAGGTACTTTAATTCATGGAGGCCTGCTTCATCAACGAATTTTTTTCCAGCAAAGACATGCCTCACCTCTGCCTGTGCCTTTTCCATTACTATGGGGTTTTTCAGCATTTCTGCCATTGCCCATTCTAGAACTGTATTTGATGAGTCACCACCACCCGAAAATAAATCCTGAAATAGAAATATTTAGTTTTCTTGAGCAATCTTCAGATTATAGGTGAGCAAAAACACTTACCATGATAACAGCTTTAATATTGTCTGTTGTTAAGGGAATTTCAAGTTCTCCATGGTCCTGAAGATCCAAAAGTATATACACAAGATCATCTGCTTCAGTCCATCCGGCAGCTCTCTTAGCTCTATGTTCCATAATGATGTTTCCAAGAATCTCATCTACTCTCTGATGCAGCCTCCTTGATTTAGGCCTCATTGCATGGATCAAATGGAGCAACTTAACCGAAGGGAACAAATCAACGAGATTCAAGCCTCCAAACAATGCTAAGTAGTCCGACGCAAGTTGCTTGAATTCTTCTTGGTGTTTAGACTTCTCACCAAAGGCTGCCCTGGATATGATAGAAAGTGTTGTAGAATACATCATCTCCCTAAGGTTGATCACAGATCCTGCCTTTGTTGAGATGTCTCTAATTAAATTCAATACCTCATCTTCTCTGATTGTTTTGAATGACCGCACCCGCATTGGATTTAGCAGCTCTGTTGTGCAAATCTTCCTCGCCTGTCTCCAATAGTCTCCATATGGCGCAAGTGCAATATTTGTAAAGTTGTGAGTAAGTAACTTCAGGGAAGGGAAACTTGGTCTGCTAGCGAAAATGAGGTCGTGAGTTTTCATCACATCTTTAGCAGTTTCAATTGAGGAGATGACAAAGGTGGAGAATTCACCAAGTTGTAGGTGCATGATGGGGCCATATTTCTTGGCCAAGTTTCTTAGGCAGTGATGAGGAAGAATGCCAACAAAATTGTGGAGGTTTCCTATCAAAGGCAGTTTCCGTGGTCCAGGAGGTAGCTTTGAGGAGGAGCCATGGTTTACGGATTCTCTCCATATGCTCCAGACGATGACTATGAAGAAGAGAAAGGTGAGAAGGAAGTTGAAGTAGGGAACTTGGGCCTCCATTTCACAACTCTCGAGGATATGGGATTTGGTCTTTAATTTCCGAGTCACTTAACTTATATACTAGTTTTTCAAGCCTTCCAAATACTGTTCATTTGATTCACAGAAAATATTTTTTTTGAAGTACAAAGAAAAATGAGTCATTAATAATACACGTAGAGTAAAAAATGCCTAAAGATACAAGCTCTTTTTGGAAAGGGCCACTTTTTTTGAAAGAATGTATTTGAGATTTTAAGTTGTTGAAAAGTACTATTAACCTAATATTTATAAAAAAGATATTAAAATGTTTAAATTGTAAATGGAAATTATTAGGTTGAAGAATAATCCTTATTATTAGAGGGTTTGTTCCTCATCCATTTATTTAAATTTTATAATTTAAATTATACAATATATGTTTTTGTTATAAAACTATCAATTAATGTTTTTGGAGTTATATTAATGTAAAAAATTATTATATGCATTTACAATTAAAAAAAGAGAAGCATTTTTTATCTGTGGAAAACAGGACGGAAAACCAATCCCAAATGCTTGATAATCATATTGTGATAGTATAGGCCAGCTTGGGCTTATGTAAAACATGGCTGTTGATTTCGTTGTCATGGAGTGGCCAGAAAAAATTTTCGTTATCTTGGCATGGTTTCACGTGAAGAGTAAAATAATAAGTTTTCTGATTTTGGCTTAGCAGATTGAGATTATATTAATCTTCCTTTGTTGAAAGTGAAAGCGAGAGCTTTGTCCAGAGGATGTGCATCAATCTTTATATATATTTTTTTAAGTACCTTGATTGGTGCACACCCGGATCCAACACCCGGGTATGCACCCCCACATAAAAAAAAAAATTGGACTGGGTGATGATGGGTTTTTTTTTTTTCAAAGGGGAGTGTGCACACCCGGGTGCTGACCTGGGTGTGCAGATATCATTTTTCTTTTTTTAATAAGAAACGAAGAAGAAACCTTTCGCGTTTCTTACTGGAGCAGAGCACAGAAATTTTAAATAATTTCACGTTTTTAACATTTGCTCCTAATTCCTGACACGTTCATAATGATCAAAGGACTTATTTATCCTTAGAAATAGATCTAATAAAATTGAACCAATTCAAAAATTTAACCTAACTTATTAATTATGGATTAAGTCATGAATTTAAACATATCAATTTAAAATTTAATATGACTTAGGTAAAATTATTTAGATTTTATTGGCTAAAGTTAAGATAGAATCAAGTAAGTCAAAATGGCTCGTTTAAAATTAATTAATTTTTAAAATTTTAAATTTTAATTATTCAAATTTTTAAATTTAATTTTTAAATATAAAATAAAATTAGATATTATAAAATTATTGTTTATTTATTAAGTTATTAGAGTGTATTAATTTCATAATTTTTTATTAAATAATTAATTAATACAGAATTTTTTAAAGAAAATATTGAAAACTTTTAATTTAATTTTAATTTTTCAAAAAATTAGATTTCAACTGACTTAATCTAAGATCCATGCAGGTGAATAATGAGTCTACCTCTTTTAATCTAAATTTTAAAATAACCCAATCTAATAAATCCAAAATTCGAAATAACTCAATCTAAACCTACTCAATCCAATTTATCTGCGAGGTTTACCCGAAAAAAAATAAAATAAAATAAAGCTTAACTTCTTTCATGCAACAAGCTTGGGGACTCAATATTGAATTTTGCCAATCAAATAAAAACAGAAGTTGTTGCAGTTTGGTTCTTACGTATGCACCATAAGCATATTATCGGTGCCAGTGAAGCGTCTAGGCTAGTGCTAAGGCCGAAGCCTTTTCAAATCTCACCTTATGCATGTGAGTCTACATCTAGATCTTTTTTATTTTTTTTTCTTTTTGGTTATTTAGAGAATTGAATTGTATATTTATATAGAACACAGAATTAAGTAAACTGTAATTAATGTATACAAATACATTCGTAAAAGAAATTAAGCTTATCTGTAACAAAACTAACAAGTCTTGTGGAATGCCAGAAATTGTATGGTAGGATTGCATTTTCACTATATATATCAAATATAAATCAATGCAAAATCTTTGGAAGTTCTTTTTTTTTCTTTTTTCTTTTTTTGGAAATGAAAATCAATTTGAAAATTTGAACACAAATTATAGCTAGTTTGCGAGAATGATGATAGAATATGATATCAAATTATTTGACATCCAAACTGATGAACAAGATTATACAGGATTATTTTTGGTACATATTATAATTTGAAATACATTGGTACTGATTAAACATCATCAAATCTAACATTCTTGTAATCTGTAATCAGTTGAAAGGCATGGGACGATGAGGAATGGGAATTAAGCACAGATCATATTTTCTTCTTGCCACAGTGCTGAAAACCTCTGTCATGTCTACATCTTCAGGCTTCTTTCCATCCGGTAGTCTCCAATCAAAATGGAAGAGCAAATTTGCAAGTTCAAGTTCAATGTTGGCCATGCCAAATGAAATGCCAGGACACATCCTCCTCCCACCACCAAAAGGAATGAATTCAAAATTAGATCCTGTATAGTCACTTGTGCCATCAGAAAACCTTTCCGGGAGGAACTTCTCGGCTTCAGTCCAGTAATTCGAATCCCTTCCAATCGCCCAAGCATTAACTATGACCCTGGATTTGGCAGGTATCTCAAATCCATTAATCTCACACCTCTCTCTGCTTTCCCTTGCAACTAGCAAGGGAGAAGGAGGGTGTAGTCTTAAAGTTTCCTTGATGACCAAGTTTAGGTACTTCAATTCATGGAGGCCTGTTTCATCAACACTGCCTTTGGTAGCAAAGACATGCCTCACCTCTGCTTGTGCCTTTTCCATTACTTTGGGGTTTTTCAACATTTCCGACATTGCCCATTCCACTACTACAGCTGATGATTCGCCCCCAGCAGTGAATAAATCCTAAAATTAGAATAGTAAGTTATTATAAAACAAGTAGAAGTCATCTTTTATGCAAGACATGAAAAAAAGTGGGAAAAATCCTAACCATGATTATAGCCTTGATATTGGCTATTGTTAAGGGAATTCTAAGTTCCCCATGATCCTTGAGATCCAAAAGAACATCCAAGAGATCATCTTCTTCATGATCCTCACAACTACTCTTTTCTGTTCCTTTGTTAGCTTGATGCTCAAGAATGATGCTTTCTAGAACTTCATCTAGCTTCTTATGCAAGTTTCTGTATTTAGGCCTTAGTGAATGTATCAGACTGAGCAATTTGATGGAAGGGAACAAATCAACGAGACTCAAACCTCCAAACAAAGTTAAAATTTCTGGAACCAGTTGCTTGAATTCCTCCTGGTGTTTGCATTTCCCACCAATGGCTGCCCTGGAGATGATGGAAAGTCCTGAAGAATACAACATCTTTCTAAGGTTGATTGTCGATCCTGCCTCCAACGAGATGTTTCTAATTAAATTTGAGACTTCATCCTCCCTAATTGATCTGAATGATTTCACACGTCTTACACTTAGGAGCTCGGACGTGCAAATTTTTCTCATCTGTCTCCAATAGTCTCCATATGGTGCCAACACAATATCAGAAAAACTATAAGTTACTAGCTTTAGAGAATGGAGAAGAGGCCTACCAGCAAAAATGAGGTCATGGGTTTTCATTACTGCCTCAACAACTTCTCGTGAGGAGAAGATGAAAGTGGAGGCTTCGCCCAGCTGCAGGTGCATCACAGGACCATATACTTTGGCCATGTCTCTAAGGCAATGATGAGGAAGAGTACCACTAAAGAGGTGGAGGTTTCCTATGAAAGGTAATTTCAATGGCCCTGGGGGCAGTTTTGATATGGAACCATTGCTTGTGAATTTCTTCCATATCTCCAACATCATGATTGTGAAGAGAATGGTAGTGAAAAGATATGGGAAGTAGGTATCTTGGTTCTCCATTTGAGGGTGGAATCTTTTCTTTTTCTAATCTAAGCAATTGTAGGGATGGATTTGATTTGTAACCTTCTATGAACATTATTTATAAAATAAGTTTTCATGCCTCTAATAGATACACTTATGTCAATCTCTTGGGGCAGGGTAACATGTGAAAAAATAGTTCATCTATAATTTCTCAACATTTTACATACGGTTCACCTGATTCAAGAAAGAAATACTAACCCCAAACCAGATTACAGAATATGTTTCTCAAAATCTTGGCATGATTCCCGTGGTCATTAAACAAAACAAAAGCATTGGTAAAGTCGGTTGACATTGAACCCTGATTTGGTTTCCTAAGATCTTTGTGGGAGCCGCAAATCCCTGATAAGGGACTTACGCTTATTATTAGATATTATTATCATTTAATATTTAATATTTAATAATTAATATTTTACCATTTAATATAATTTTTTTTTTTGAATAATTGTCATAGAATCAGATTAAACCATTGCCTCAAAAAGAGAAAAAAAGTAAATTTTTACAATAATGACGGATGCCGACCGATCTTATGGGTCAGGTTCTATGGAACAGGTTCTACAATTTAATATAATTTAAATACTAAGATACTATCTTTTTTAATAATAATATATTCAATTCCTTGTAACAACTGAAAATGGAGACAATCCTCTTAACAAAGAACATGGAGAAAAGAAAAGCCCTCCTTGGTGAAACTCAGTTGCGGTATCAGGCCCAGCATTATTTTAAAGTAGAAACGCTCCTTGGGGAAGCATCTTGTAAAATTCCCCTTACCTCCAACCCTTGCTCTTCGTTTTGGCAATCAAAAATAAAGAAAAAGGTTGAATCTTTTTATGCATATTCGATGTTTGTTAAATTGTCTGTATGAAGGTGGTCGTGTTCAGTGGAGGGTCTTAAGCGGTTGTTTTGATAGATCTGTTTGCTTTATTCTAAACTTCCATTTTAAATCATCAATCTGTTCGTAAGATTGAAACTTTTTAATTGAAGCATGAACTAAGCAGTTGCTACAATGATTATTCTGTTTACTTGTGAAAATGTCATTTTTGGAGGTGCCTATTTACTTTATGTTGGACAATGGACATGGCTGTTTAATCAACTAAAGCTTAATTCCTTTTAAGGGTTGTTGATCCAAAGATGTCTCTTTTTATTTCTCAAAAGAACTCAGAGAAAACAAGTACAAGCATACTAGGAGAACAGTGGAAGAGGATGCCATTTGTTACAACAAGAAGATGAACTAAGGCGTGGGATGATAAGGAATGGGAACTAAGCACAGCTCATCTTTCCTTCTGGCTACATTGCTGAAAACTTCAGTCATATCTAGATCTTCAGGAGTCTTTCCACCAGGAAGTTTCCAATCAAAATGGAAGAGTAGATTTGCAAGCGTTATTTCAATTGTTGCCATGCTAAATGAAATTCCAGGACACATCCGTCTTCCCGAACCAAATGGTGTAAATTCAAAGTTAAGGCCTTTATAGTCAATTGCACAATCCAAAAACCTTTCTGGACAGAACGTTTCAGCTTCAGGCCAACACTGTGGATCCCTTCCAATGGCCCAAGCATTGACTATGACTCTGTATTTAGCAGGAATCTCATATCCGCTAATCTTTACTGGCTCTCTGCTTTCTCTTGGAACCAACAAAGGAAGAGAAGGGTGAAATCTTAGTGTTTCTTTCATAACTAGGCTAAGGTACTTTAGTTCATGGATGCCTGCTTCTTCAACATAGCCTTTGCTAGCAAAGACATGTCTCACCTCTGCTTGTGCCTTTTCCATTATCCTGGGGTTCTTCAGCATTTCTGACATAGCCCATTCAATAATTGTAGACGATGACTCGCCCCCACCAGTGAATACATCCTGAATCAGGGTTAGTAAGTGTAAATTGTTGAGTGCATATTGTTTTTATTTATGCATATTATTCATTGAGTTTTTGTGCCAAATAAGAGCGGAAATTGATATGTGCCGTTTTATTTCTCAGGTTAGGGATTTTGGTTAATGAGATTACAATAAGATGGTATATATTAGAATGCTGTAAAAATACTAACCAAGATAATGGCTTTGATATTGGTCGTTGTTAATGGAAGTTCAAGCTCTCCATTATCCTGAAGATTCAACAGAACGTACACAAGATCATCAGGCTCAGCCTCGCCAGTTCTTTCAATTGCTTTCTCAGCTCGATGTTCCATGATGATGTTTTCAAGAATCTCATCTAGTTTTTGATGCATCTTCTTGAATTTAGGCCTCATTTCAAGGATCATTTGGAACAATTTGATGGACGGGAACAAGTCGGCAACACTCAATCCTCCAAAGGCTGTCACTATTTCCGGAATAAGGTGCTTGAACTCTTCTCGGTGCTTACATATCCCGCCAAAGGCTGCCCTAGACATGATGGCAAGTCCTGAAGAAAACAATATCTCCCTAAGGTTGATTACAGATCCAGCTTTTGATGTAATGTCTCCAACAACATTTCTCATCTCTTCTTCCCTGATTGATCGAAACGACTGCACTCGCCTCTGACTCAACAGCTCCAGCATGCAAATTTTTTTCAACTGTCGCCAGTAGTCCCCATATGACGAGAACGCAATGTCCTTAAAATTGTAAGTTATGAACTTTGCAGAATGGAATTGTGGCCTGTCAGCTAAACTGAGATCATTGACTTTCATCACTTCTCTTGCAGCTTCTGGCGATGAGATGACAATATAGGGTACTTGGCCGAGTTGCAGGTGCATGATGGGGCCAAATTTCTTGGCCAAATCACTAAAACGGTGATGAGCAACGGTGCCAACAAAAAGGTTGAGGTTTCCTATCAGAGGGAATTTCCATGGCCCTGGGGGTAGATTTGAACTGTTATCACTACTGCTTCTGCTTTTTCTCCATAACATATAGGCTATGACTATGAAGAGAAATGTCAAAAGGAAAGGAAAAAGATCTTGGTTCTCCATTTGAACTCTGGAGTGTGGAGGTAAGTGGATTGGTTCCTGGCTTTCCACCCTCTTTATCTTTGTATTCTGAAACGGTAGTCTTTGGGGCATATGAAAAGGCAAAAACATGCAGATTAACCCCTCATCGTCTCAAGAGGTAGCAGATTCCCCACTTAACTGAATTCACGCGCAAACTCACCCTCAAACTTACCGTCAGTGGCAAAATATTACGTTGGCAATCCGTCCAAGACTATGGCTTTTGCATTTACAAACCAAACAAGAGTTTTTATGGATTTAATGTTCAAATCAACTAAAGATAAACACATCTAATAAAAAAGATCAATATCATAATAGAAAGAGAAATAAACATATATCTAAATAATAACAAAACTTTTAATAATAAATTTTCAATATCATTTAATAAAAAATAAATCAAAAACCTCATCAAAATTACAAAGGAATTTAGTAAAACCCAAAAATTGAACCGCAGAATAAATTAACAAAACAAAAACATACTCTTTAAGTTCTTTAACCACAAACAAACAAAGGAAATTCCCAACCAATGACAAGGAATTAAAGAAAAAAATAACAGTAGATATCATTAGTTTACATGATTAAATGACTAAACTTAATCACGTAAGAAATTAACAAAGAAAGGAATTTTATTAAAGAGATAAGAGGATCTCAACCCATTATACTTTCATTTATAAGGGAAATGATATTTGTACAATTTTTTTTTTTTTTTGTTTCACTTTTTAATACAACTTGACGTATTATTAAAATGATTGATTTTTTTAATTCATATGAAACCCATGATATTGAATACATCTTTTCATTTAATAACATGTAAAAATTGTATAAAAAAATAGGACAAAAAAGTTTTCCCAACAGCACTACCCCATTTATAAATAGAGAATAATCTTATACATCTTAAATCCAATATAATCACACTTAGACAATTTATCAAATACTTGATAGACATAATTTAAAAAGATTCCACTTTCCCTTCCTTTACTCATCAAAACTTAAAAATTTGGCACAAATCATCAACAAGTGCAAATGAGAGCATATACCAATAAAATCAATTATTACTCTATCCAATCCTATAAAGAATATGGAACTTGGATATGTGGAGTTGAAAGAGAGAAACAAAAAAAATCACCAAGTACAGGCTTGACTCAATTAGTCTTCTTTGTTGCTTCCTCTTCGAGCTTAACCCATTTCAAATATGGAGTGTTACAGAGCTTCTAAAGAGGAAAGAGAAAAAGAATGGGTGAAGTGAAAATGGCTGAGGGAGGGCGAGAAAAAAGAAAAAAAGAAAAAAAAAAACATGTAAAACACCATTCATATCGTTAAATGACCGGCAATGATACAAAGAGTTTTTTGTACAATATTTTTATATAATTTTTAGATATCATTAAATAAATAAATAT